CGACTATTTTGAATAAATACGCTGTTATATAAGGAAACATTGGAACTCAATTGCAAAGGACTTTATATACATCCATCTATCGAATTCCCTCCAAGTTTCCAATTTCAACTTTCTAAAGTATCTTAGTGGTTGTGTGAAGCCTACTTGAGAGCTTTTACGTAAGGGACGTGGTCAAATAGAAAATAATATTAATCCATTTCTGGAGCTTTATTATTTTACAACTTTGATTGAATTTAGTTTTCCTATTATTAGACTTAATAATTAGTATTTCCGTGAATAATAAACTCGGCCAACTAATATTCCATTGGATTAAAAAATAAATAATTAATGATTACAAAGTGATTAACGTCACTTCCCGTAAGCCCGACTATTATTTCTTTGAAAAGTCTATGTAGGATTCAATATTAATTAAAATTGGTTTTTTTTTTTTTTTTTTTTTTTTTCTAATTTAAGGTCAGTTTTGAAAGAATGCAAGTGCTCCAGTATTATCAATAAATCAACATTCAAAGGATTAAAACTTTATACAATTGTCCTTTGTCTTTCCATACAGCATATATCAATTTGTATTTAATAACAATCTGTATTTAATATAGATATATCATATAAGACCGTAAATTTTCAATCTAATCTTTCTCTCTACTCATTTTATTTAAAAATAATGATTAAACTTTATGTCCGTAGAATAAATTGAATTTTAATTATTCTTATTAGGGTGCAGACAATAATATCCAAAAAGACACACACATATCCAATATTTGTGCTTTTTTGCACGAGTCACTCGTGTTATTAATAGTTGTTGTACCAATCTTATAAACATTCGCTAAACTTTCAATAATTATTTTACAATTAGTAATGTTTCGATCGCTCTTTCAGCAGCACGATCGAGCAAAATAAAAGCTTTCGGTTAATGTCTAATAATAACGAATAATAACGAAATCTCTCTATAATTGGATAATCGACATGCAACTCGCAACAATCTCATCGCTATCTCATAAACGGAAGTCCTATTATATTATGATAAAATGAATTTGTTAGTAAATATTCGCGCAACCGTTTAATTCACATTTCGATTGGAAATTATTATGAGGAGCCTAATTAGAACGTAAAGCATAACGTGCGACGATCTGTTACTCGCAAACACTCACTCAAATCCACGCACACGCATAATATTTATTCAGCTTTATCGTTTGTACGATATAAAACTCGCTAGGAATACAAAAGTTGATGACTTTGTCAATTGGATGATATTTCACGCCGCGTGACTTATCCGCGGTCCCTTTCGCTCGTTACTTTTATTTCAGAACATTCATCTTGCTGAAACTCGAATGCCTCTAACATCCGAGCATTAACCATCACCGACTCTACTCGGAATATCCTCGCAAGCACGAAGAATGAAATATCGCTCAATTGATTACTGTAGTGTGTGTATAAAGTACAGCTTCTATATTCCTTTCGAGTCATGGCTAACGATTATTTTAATTACAACGAGGATAAGTCCATCATTGCCGATTAAAGTCACCGTGAAATTAGTTTAAAATTTTAGAAAATAAGAAATACCTCCCGTCAAATATACAATTTTGTTCAATGTAGAGTAAATGTATGCACGATACGTATTGTAAGAGCTTAACCATTAAATTTAATAACAACTTCCAATGTGGATTAGAAAAATATTAAATCTTAACTGTATATGGTAACCCTAATGTTACGTCGATTTTCACGGACCAATATGATCCATGCCCCGATTTTCTTTTCTTATATATACTTTTTCCTTCTCTTTTTCTTTTTCTTTTTTTTTTTAGCTTTCTGTACACCCCCCCCCCCCCGCCACCTCCACCACCGCCACCACCGCCACCCGTTTTTCTTTTTATCTTTTATTATACACATTCTCACAAAATGCTTAGCGTTATATTTTACACTCTATATTTTTTTAATGAGCTTTCTCATCTTTGGTACGATTCCACTACTCTATTATGTTTTTCTCATCATTTGTTGATTTTTTTATTCTTTTTTTTATTCACGCCCTTCAAGACGCAATTATGAGGCTTTTGGAATGTTAGTCTTTTTGAAATATAATGGTTGGAATTATTTTGTTTTGTTTTGTTTTGTTTGTTTGTTTGTTTGTTTGTTTTTTTTTTTTTTTTTTTTTTTTGTTAAGGTATCAATTGATACCACTGTCATTTAAATATCTATCTCCTTCGAACGACGACGTAGACTCCTTTCTTCCTTGTCCTCGTATGCACGCCAACGCCCATTATTATATCGTCAAAACATCTTAGGCGGTTTTTTAATCCTTCGTCGATAGTTTCCTACAATCTCTACAATATTGCAATATAACCACGCAGACCGCAGACTCGCGTTAAGTGTTTAATGCCGCTAGAACGCGTTCTTAACCGCTCCCATGACAATCGATATTATATACACGTTTCTGTCTCATAAGAAGCATTGTATGACACGGAACGTTAAGAGATTTTTATCGAGTTCACGGCTGGTTTCTGATAAAACAAATTGATTGCAATCGTACACTGGCACATTCGCAATTAGACTCGCACCATTCGCCACACTTTGGGCGCACAAACAATGGTCCATTAAAAAACCGTCTTTATTCATGAATGATTATTGCCGATAACGTTGCCATAGACTCGGGCTCGCAGCTTCGCATTCGCAACGAACGTCTATAAATGCCGTTGACGACGGCCTTTCAATGCTCTCGCAATACGCGCGACATAGAAATGAAGAGGCTGAGGCATAACGCGAGCCAAATGACGTTAGTTCGAGCAATAAATGCGAGCGTAAGCAGGCCCAAGTGCTCTTTATGCGCGTCCCGGTTAATTAAAACCTTGAACGGGTGGTTTTTAATCCTTTGATAGGCGCCCCGTTTTTTATCAGCACTCGCCGCAAGTCCAGACTGCGATCAAATATATGACACAACGCAGGGGAAAGAAGTGTTATCGGATAGGGTGCTAGTTACGTAAGACGTACCTTGAACGAGTTGTTCAAAGTGAAAAATAACTGCCCGTTAAGGGATGAATAATTTTCATTACTTTTTTCATTTTTTTTGAAAAGAGTTTTGAACGCATTGGAAAATTATAAATTTGAGATCTTATCATGATATCGCTTAGATTCGAGGGAACGATCAAGCCTTACGACTTGCGAAACGGTCAAATTACACCTCTACCTACCTACCTACCTACCTACCTACCTACCTACCTACCTACCTACCTACCTACTTATCTATCTACAATCATACTATTTATTATAATTTTAACGATAAAATATTATCGAATGGCGCCAATGCTCGATGCGATTCCTTCAATAGTATCTTCAAATTCCCATAATAAATTGACAAATGTAATTTTGCGAATTAAGGTGGAAAGTAGACTTCGTATATACGATATCGGATAGCCCTTGCGCGAGGAAAAGAACGTCAGCGATCGCTTATTTCACACCAGCAAGCCAATGACGTTACGTCATCTAAATAACTATCCTACATAAGCAGCAAAAACATAACAATATCGACATTCCAGATGCGTATGCGGAATAAAGCTCGGATTTACATGGCGGACGTGGCTATACTTGCTACAACTGGCACTCCTCGAGCACTGTTGCGCCTTACTAATCTACGAGTTAAAAAAGACAATTATACGCTCCCCTATGCTCGTCGAATGTAATTAATGTAACTTGACATGAATCTGCAGACCGTTTGTTATAATATTTAGATGATTTTCTCGCCAAACTCCTCCCGCCCCATAAAACCACGAATTCCATCCCCATAATTCCTTAATTCATTTACGCTAATTCGTTTCTTCTCTTCTCCAGCACGTATTTTCACTCTGATAATACTTATCACAGGCCGACGAGCGATCAATTTCTCATATAAACAAAAACATCCGTCTCCAGCGCGCAACAAAATTGACGATTATCAAATAAATACATTTCATCAAGGTCTCGCATATTTACTTCGTCGAACGCTCATTTGCCACTTCCATACCGCACACGCATCTCTCGATTAAATACCGATACCTCTCTCCCCGAGTGATTTTTCCTTTCCGGTCGCATTACAAGCAAAGCTTCAGAATTTTTAAGAAACTTTTAATTTCGTCCACCGCTCCCACACACACTCACAATAGATTACACAAGCAAATTGCACCCTACGCCTTCGCTCTCGGGGCAATATTCGCAAATTCGTCGTTCAAAGGAGATGGACGGATAATGGCCTCTTGATAAATTTCTCGCCAAACAAGAGCCCGTGCTTTTCTCTAAATTAAATCTTAATCGCTCAACATGCCGTAAAATAACAATGCCAGCTGCATTTATCGTATTTGGACTCGATTGACTCTCGCCCATATTTTTCCAATGTAAATCCAGTATTTCGTCGTGTCGATAGCCCCTAACGCTCGCTTTAATCGTACATTAGCTTAACGTGCGTAACGCGCGCGCGCTTGGGATTACCTTTTCAATTACAATCTGCCGTGTCAATTCTATCAGTTCTGCCAATCCGAGCAATAGCGTATCTATCTATACATGAACTGGAAGAGGCTCGGAGGAATGTAAATAAGCCGCTTTGTGTGTACTTAAAGGTTTGAGCGATGATTCAATTGTCCACACCAACTTAAAACGTGCCATATACCTATGGTATTTAATATCGCAATGAACATGGCTGCGGTAAATAAGGTAAACGATTTTTTATTTTTATAATTTGCTTCTCACTCAATTGGGGACAATCGTTGCCAATTTGGCAATCATTGGCCGCGTTTGCATCGTGATAACCGAGGATAAATAAGGGAGGGAGGAGCCGAGTAGAATCAACTCAAGTCAAGATTCGAGCGGCTGAGCGTGAATGCTCGACTGTCCCCCGATCCCCATCCCTTCATCGCCCCCCCCCCCTCCTACCCCTCATCGTCCCCGCCCATCATCCGGCAAACTTCTCGCCCGAGGAGCGGAAGCAACTTTCGAGTCAGCCTTAAAATAACGATTACGCGAACGTAAGAGTAGGAGGTGGAGCCGGGAAGGGTGTAGAAAGGAGATACGGGCTGGGCGATGAGATTGGATAGGGTTCGGGAATGTGGATGATGGTGATGGTGGAGAGACTCATTCCTCGGGCCAGCCGAGGTGCTCGCCGACGAGGTCGTAAAAGCGCTGGTTATGCTCGGCGAAGAACTTTCGTAGCTTATTCACGACCAAGGGGCTGACGCGCGGGTGCCTACGACCTTTGCTCTCCTTCAGGCACTTCTCGGAGGTGCCGTTGCGCATGCAGTAGAAGCCCTTGGTGCGATTGAAGTAGAAGTTGTGTCGGCCGATGTGCGGCTCGAGCCTGAGGAAGCCCTCGATACGCTTCAGCTGTGGTACGGGGTCGTCGATCAGCTGGTCCCCGTTCACCACGAGGATCTGCCGACGCTGGAAAACCTCGAGCCAACGGTGCATGTGCACGTGGTAGATGGAGATGGCGATGGGCCGGTACGACTCGTTCACGCTCCCGTCAGGTTGGATGGCCAGCTGCTCGAAGCTTCGCTGATCGAGGACGACCGGGGCCGGGGTACCGACACCCGGGGCTGCGCTCGCCGCGTGACTGCGCAGTTGCGCGTAATCCGAGATGGCGCGCGTCACCGGCTCCCGCACTATCAGCAGTAAACGCACGCTCGAGTTCATCGCGTGGATGCGCTCCGGCACCTGCACAACGTGCCAAACTCATTATCGGCTCAACGGTTAAACGACCTACCATCAGGATGATTGCAACGACCGATCGCAGACCAATTGCAGACCGATTGCGGATCTGCCGTCTGCGTCCTGACTACGGTATAGCCTGAGCCAGCGACTCGTCATTTCGCGATGACCTTCACGAATTTTCTAACTCATTGCTCGTGCGCGGAGTAATTTCAACTGGGGAGTCTTATTAAATGCTCCGACCTCGTTTCTTCAATCGTATTTTTTCATTACTTGTCTCTTCGTTTTTTTGATTGAGGAGAATTTGATCAATTACTCGTGTGCATATTTTTGATAACAGACATCGATGCTTTATATAATGGACAAAGTACTATTGCTACTGTAATACTGCATTAACAGCGAACATATCATAGCGAACTTTTCTTTTCCCAAATATAAGTGACAAAAGACAATAATAGCGCGTGCTATATTCTAATTTATACAAAAATAATTTTATACCCAATATATTCGACATTAAATTTTGTAACATTGATATTTCACGACACGATTATTTCTCCTTGCTTAATATTGATGCAATCATCCTGATTATTACAACGATCATATGATTATTAATATGATTATTGTCGTTATTGGTATCGTCGTCGTCGTCGTCGTCGTCGTCGTCGTCGTCGTCGTCGTCGTCGTCGTCGTCGTCGTCGTCGTCGTCGTCGTCGTCGTCGTCGTCGTCGTCGTCGTCGTCGTCGTCGTCGTCGTCGTTATTATTGCTATTGTTTATATTATTATTATCATTATCGTTATCGTTATCGTTATCGTTATCGTTATCATTATCATTATCATTAACATTATCATTATCATTATCATTATCATCATCATTATTATTGCTGTTATTATTATTATCAAGGAGGTAAGTTAAATTCTAAATAATGTATTACATAAATAGAGTTGTCAAAGCTTAATATTTCAATACTTTAATAATAAACTTACTTTACTAATTGGCTTAAATATTTAATATAATTATAAGCCAATATTCTAAGGGCAATAAACCGAATCAACTAATTCTTGTATGATTACAAATTTCTATATTAATAAACGTTGATGGAATTTTATATATTAATTTTCTTATAATAATATAAAACATTTCTATTGCAGTATTTGTGAACCTGTCCTAGCACTGGTATTGGCAAATGTACAAAATTAATTAGAATTTTTTCAAAGTTTATCAAATGTCGTAAAAATAATTTCATTAACTAGTGAAAAAAACCATTAATATTAACGAATTAAAATAATATCATACATGAAATGGTAATATAATTACAATTCACAAGGAATTTTATCTCAAATTCTAGAAGAATCATACACGTAACTCTAATTATAACATTAAAAAGATATGTAAGATCATTGCCAATTTTATTTGGCAGAATTCAGTTTCATTGAAAAAGTCGATTATTTCATAGGAATTTTCTGAAATAAATAAGCTACTATTGACAACACATGTAATTATAATGGCTTGAGATTTAAAATTCAATTACCTCCATACAGCCGTTACGCTTTCCTAAAAATGCAATTATTTTCTTAATAATTATATAAAAACATTACTTAATTCCATAATAATCTTGTAATATAAACTTTGCTTTTACATAAATAATGTATATATTAAGGTAATAATAATCAAATTATGTCAAAATTAAAAAAAAAAAAAACATCATCAGTAATAATTGAAATTTAACAGTTTGTTTCAAATGTCGAATACCAGTTTACCAGTTATTAATACTTTTACACTTAATTGGAAATTCGATGCAACCGATTAATAATTAATAAAAATTTTATAGCATCAATTTCAAGTATTTATGTTTTGTACAATTGAATATTTGATACAAATGTTGCCACTTCGTCTAAGCGTAACAACCTGGTTTATTATTTTAGGCGATTGTGCATACGTACGTGAGTGCATCGAGTGCTTTGGAGTGTGTGAGCGTTGAAAACATTCATAGGTGATTGTTAGTGCTGTGCAATTGTGGTAGAAAAAAAAAAGTAATAACTTTCTGTTGATTTTCAAAGAATTAATTTTAAAATTATTTCAACGTGAATTATCAAGTTTTAAACAATGACATTTAAATAGAAAATCAGAAAATGTAATGAAAGTTGAAATTGAAGTTACCTTATCTAAAAGATATTACATAATATGCAAATGCGATACCTAAACGTAAGATACAGCAAGTCTTGTTCAAACAATGCAAATTGATTATGATAAACCTGTATTTTATATTAATAAATAATTAAATTACAATTTTCAAAATATCATGAAATGAAATTTACATTTACACGTACATAAAATTAATATATTTTCGTGAGTATTATTTTTAACAATCCTATTGATCAATATTGATTCCATAAATAGTAATAATAAGCACCAATAACTACCATATTTACTTATCGCACTTACTTATGACACTAAAAAAAAAAAAAAAAAATTAAGAAACCAATTACTATCATTACCCAACCTTGCCAATGGTAAAAAGTTGCCTGAAAATACATTTATGACACATTATATACATATTTGAATGCTTTTGATTGATCAATTCACAGATTTATTTTATAAAATCAACTTCCGTCATTGTTAAATCGTGTTTGCACTAAACGTTTTCCGTTCGATAATCATCAAATGTATCTAACGTTATAACGTAACAATTTGTCTTTAACATGAACGACTAATGCTGGAATAATATTTATTATAAAATATTCGAATATAATATAATATAATAATATTGAATATAATAAAATTATGGATAAATATTTTATAAACCTATTTAAACAATTAAACGGCATTATTAGTTATCTTCTTAACATTAAATTTAACTTATATTTTCAATTAAATCTAGATCGCTTTCATTTTCTCATAATTTAGTCAATTAAATGCTACATTCAACCACTTTCTACAGCTTCCAAAATACAATCTATTACATTTCTATCAAAATATTGTATAAAATTATTAATACAATTAAACTATTTGTATCAATTTTTAATTTCTATTATGATTTTGAATATTATATATCAAACGTGTTATCTTAATCATAAAAATTGCGAAATATAAAAAAATCTTGTTATTTCTTATTTAAACAGAAAAATATAAATTGCTTATATTATAGACAGTGCATACGTGCTTGTTATTTATATATTTATTTTTTTTTTTTTTTTGAACATGCAGTGCGCCTAATTTATATGAAGTAAGCATTATTCAATCGATGTATTTCATAAAAAATTTGTTTCTGATAATTTCATAACAATAGAAGCGATTGGATTTTCTTTTAGTATAAATGTGACATCAAACTAAATAGAACGAAATGACGTAAATCTAAATTTATTTTTGAAAATCTAATTTGAAAAATCATTTCATAATTAAAGAAATATAATAAAATAAGTATTTAGAATATATATATATATATATATATATATATATATATATATATATATATATATATATAATCTCTGCAAATGCATTATCGTTAAAATTATGAATTATCAATTACTGTCTCATTTTTGTAATTCATACATACGATGTATTGTTAAAACAATCAATTAACCGAGGATATTACAGTTGCTCAATAAAAATACAACGTATTAGCCAAATAAGAAAAGGCAATGTAATTATAATTGATCAGTTGATAAATTTATTGTATGAATCTTAAAATTACTTGTTTTCGTTTGAAAGGCTTTAATTATCGGGGTGACGTTTAATGTCATTGCTGCATTCATAATTTAAAATTCTCAATTGAAAGTCAATTTTAATATAAATTAGGCATTATTTTTTCCGGGCACAAAAGATCGAACACGTTCATTAAAAATAAGCAAAGAATACAAAAATTCACTGGTTATCTATCTGGTGCAACAAATCAGTTAAAGCTACGTGTGCATGCGTATCGATGGCATTCTATTATAATTTCATAAAGGAAAATATAAATAATATTCGTCATCCAGATGAACGTATGTGTACATACATATATATTAGATGATAAATTTATCTTGATTCACAGTCATACGATGAATATTATATTTAATCTTTGAGAGATATATTACTTAATCATTACAACTACTACTATGAGCAAATGATACCGGAAATACCGTTTATTTTTAGTACAGTAAATTAGTAAAGTTATAGAAGTTTAAATAAAATATCAGTTGAAATTTAAATGCTTGGTAAATAATATATATATATATATATATATATACACACACACACAGATTGAACTCAAATATACAAAAACTCGTGCTGCATTTTCAGGTTATCAAGAATTTCTGTGCACTTTTTGAGATGAAATCTGATTATTAAAATAAATTATATAGGATATTGAAGAATATAATATATATAAATAAATCTAGCTTCGTAATTACTATAAATCAATATTAATTCAAATGACTATTAATTCACATGGCTAAGGCGTCATAATATTATTTAATGCATGATATTACTTAATGCACGCCTATACATAATGTAATAATAGTTTGTTGAGAAAAATAGTAATTAATTACCGAATAATCGGGTAATCGTTAGAATTGTCAGTGAATTTTGAATAAACGAGCTTGTAGCGCCAAATTTGCATAATCTACAGAGTGAGTGCAGGAGTAATAATATAAATTGGCAATGGTGCAAGTATTTTCTAAGAGCAATCGAAAATCAAAATACAAAAAGCAAACTCATTTCCCGAAATGCTAGAGAGGCTCGGATAATCGGATGTAAAGCTTGATGGGATGTTATTGGCCCAGCGGGACGAAAGCCTGGGGCATCCGTCCGGAGCTTCGCACTCACCTCCGGCGTGACGAAGTAGCTCGGGCTCTTCTCGATGGTTACTTGGCCGCGGAACGAGTAGGGCATCTTGCGCCTGTACCACTCGAGGCCCCGCTCGTAATTGTCCTCCCTGTCGAAGAAGTGCACCTCCCCGGCTGCCTTCTGTATCTGCGGGTGGAGGAAGAGCATCTCGAGGAGGGCGCGTGTGCCGCACTTGCGGACACCGATGATGATCGCCTGGGGCAGCTGGCGGCTTGTCTTCGGGAAGTGGACCTTACCGGGGAGAATGCCCGGCGGGGGCGACGGGGAGCCTACCTCGAGGGGTTCCAAACGATTAGCGGCCGCGCGTAGACTGTAGACCGCGCTGTCGTAGAGGATGTGGAAGGTGACGAAGAGGGAGAGCAGGGCGACCGTGAGGAAGGCCGCGGCGATCTTCGATCGTGAGACGCCTACCACCAGGATGCAATCGGATGGCGCATCGACCTCGGCCGGCCTCATGGCGGGGCGATAACTGCACCTGAAATCCCCGACACTGTCCATTAAACCCGTCTCGACTTCCTCTATTATTTTCCAGAGTGGCTGGCAACATTTTACGAGATTGGACACGAAATAATGCAATGAACTGCGTTGTTTTTCATGCTTTAGTACTTATTCGTCGTCTATCTATCCTTGATAACCAATCAAAATATAAGGTACTGTAGGTCTATTCGATATATATATATATATATATATATATATATATATATATATATATATATATATATATATAATGTACTGCTTAAATGCATGCGAAAGTAATATTAATCATTATTTAAGTGGTAAGTTAGAGCCACCGTCTTCGTTCACAATTTAGTAATTATTATTTTCGTATTTTATGCATTAATATTCTTGCAATGTTATTTTCATGTACCTGGATCGCTTCATTACATACTTGTTTTATTTTTTCTTTATTAATTTTTCCTCAAAAATAATGCAACTTTTAGTTTAAACTATATGATGCATAGTGTGACAAACTATTTAACGATGCAAACATTATGAGTGCAATCGATTAATAACAAATATCTTGTTATTATATAGTTTTTGTCTTTATGGATCCTAGATTAATATAATTAATTCATAATGTTCACATTGGTCATAAATTATACCGATATAATGACTATTTAAATTAAGTTACTTTTTGTTTTTATTTTATTTTATTTTATTTCTCGTTCTGCTAGGGAAATAATTGTCTCGGTAATCTTATCTATAAAAAGTAATATGTATAAAGTATTATTTTAAAATTTTAATATTCAGCTTAATTTTCGACAAAGGTTAATTTCACCAATACTGCTTAATAATACAATAATTATAAATACAAAAAAAAAGAAATAAGATCTAATATTTAAAATTTAGATATTTCCAATATAAAGTTTAACAATTAATTCTTATCAAAAGATGAGAATAATGCACTAAAATTTATATAAATAAAAATTGTAATAAATTATTTATATTTATATATATATATATATATATATATGTGTGTGTGTGTGTGTGTGTGTGTGTGTGTGTGTAGACTTAAATATATTACATTTGCATGTGTACAAAATATATAATTATTAATCAAGGTATATTTTATATAAATTTTATTCATTCATAATTTTCACATGAAATAAGTTTTATTTATGTAATATAGTTTAGAAAATCATATTGTCTTCTATTGTTATTAAATTCTGTTGAATATTTTATTGCTGACTTATGACGTCTTTAGTATTACGAGTTTATTATTTCTCATTAAAACAGATCCTATAATCTCATTGATATCCGAGTATCATAAGAATAATATTTTTACGTACATTATCAGTACATATAACTATTGTAAAATTTATTTAATTTAATTATTACAATTATATAATTAAATAATATTAATTAAAATTTTTATTTTAAATATATTTAATTATATCAATACAATATCAACGCTATAATGTTAAAACAGATTAATATTAAGTCCATAGCAAAAACGTCATCTTAAAGTCGTTAATTAAATTTTTTCCACCACTTTATGCAAAAAGATTTCTCTTTATATGGGCAAATTTTTCTATGTATGCAATTTATCAATTAAATAAAAAATAAGGAAATTATTATTATAATTTACAATATAGTTTTATGACAATATTTTATATTTGGAACATTTAAAACATCAGTAATAAAATACTTTACCTTATGAACGTCATTATTTATGTACTAATATTATATATATATATATATATATATATATATAGATGTCTCTTATGTATTGCGGAAAATTAATTCAGAAATTCTTAAAATATAGATTTTTACGAGCTTATTATTATTTCCTATAAAACAATGGATAAACAATATAAACAATAAATAGATAACTTCTTAAATCATGATCAATAAATAAAATAACATTATTTTTAATGTTATCTCTTTTAATTTTAAATGTACAATTTAATATTTAAAATTTTTTTTACATTATAATGTAATTATTCAGATATAATGACTTATCAAAGATTATTAGATAATTCCTGTTTGTCTATATGGGTTTTTGTCAATCAATTAAAGTATTATTCTTTAATATTTCTATTATTCGATTAAAATTTGTTTTATCATATTTTTAGAGCTGAAATGTTGAATTTCACAAGTAATGGCTACAAAAAGGTTTCAACAACAACAAAATTTACAATTTTTTAAGCTCTTTAACTATGTAACATTATTTTGCTATATTAATTTTTAATCATCACCAACTAAATAATAATGACAATATGAGAATTATAAGCATTTGATATATTGAATGCATTTAATTGATATAAAATAATTTCATTACGATACACATTGTACATGAAAACTATTAAAACATAATGAGAACCTTTCCATAATACTACAAGTCACAGCTTATTTTTCTAAAGAAATTTCTTCATGCAGCTTAACTTATGCAAGTATTGAAATCTATGGAATAATAAATGTTCGTTCCATATATTTTTATTTTTATTTTCCTTTTTTATCTTTTTATTATTATTATTATGTTTTTTTTTTCTATAGCTCTATACGGTAAATATAGAACAGCCAACGTCTTTGTTTTACTTTGCATCCGTGCCAGTTACGAGAAAATGGTTGCATTTATACGGAAGCGCATTTCGTGTTTGTACTATACACTATTATTAAACTGTTCCTAGGCACTTATTCATACTCAATTAGAAATCAATATGAATAAAAAAAATCATTTAAAATTTAAAGGTTCATTTTTGCATCTATAACAATGTCAATAAGTAGCTCGAATAAGATGGAATTTATTTTATGAATTATAATGTAAAATCTTATGTACTTTCAAATTAAAAAAAAATTCTTTTACAATACTATTGTTAACCAGCAATTTACTCAATTAATATATTATTTGTACTTTTCAAATTATCAATTTAAATCATTCAAATTTCTTCGAAACTTTATGTAAGTGTAAATTACATTAATTAGTGTCAAATTAAATTCAAGTCTATAAATACTTGATGGTTTAATAAATAATTTAAATTTTAAAAAAGAGAATACCTTAATTTATTATAATGTTTAATTTATTTAAATATTGAGGGTAAACAACTGCCTTTTTGTTGCTGTATACTAGTTATTGAGAATAAAAAGGTTAATATTAAAAAAAAAGAGAATATTAATAAAATAGTTATATGTCATATTTTTTCTTTATTTCTAAATTTTAAATATTAATGATATATTTTATTAAAATAAAGCCAACATTGAAATTATATTTTACTCGGTAAAATACATATATTCCTCTACGTTAATAACTACTTTTTCTCATTTAAATGTAAATTTCAAAATTTTCAGTAAATTAATTATTATATTGAGAGAGAGAGAGAGAGAGAGAGAGAGAGAGATAGAGAGAGAGAGACAGAGAGAGAGAGGAGGCGGGATAAATAGTATCACGAAACATATACAATTTTTCTATTGATTTTTATGAATTTAAAAAATGTTGATTCATTAATGTTTTGCGATAATATAAAATAATTTCCCTAATATATACAAATTACTCTCCTAACAAATAGCTAGAAAATATTTATATAAAAATCTTAATTATCATTAAACATATCGTAAAATAAGTTAGTATTTAATTATAAGCAAAATAAGCACATTTACAAGACTTACATTGATAATCTTATAAACAATTCAATAATTAGGAGTTTCTTAATCCACATATTCCTAAAGCCATTAAAATTTTATGAAATACCTTTAATTTTATTTCATTTATACATTCCTGCTATTATATTTAACGAATAGTTTTTAATACAGTTATACTTGTTTTAAGGCACAGTAATAATGAAAATAATAGAAAAATCGAATCCATTGACTACAGTCACTGCTGTTTATTGTACAGTTTAGTCTGACTGTGTGTTAGCGAATTTCACAATTAGTTCGATCATAAACGTAGAAATTGGGGTAAAGCTCATCAGTAGTCAGATTAGAACGGGAAAGAGACAATGAGTGCAATTGTAGAATCTGTATGCACTCATTAAGGGTATCGGAGCGAATATTCAAAAGTAAAGTAGAGACTTCGACGTGCAACCTTAATCGTTCAACAAGTCTATTTTCTTTTCAAACACAAAAGCCACATTATCCATACTTGTAATTTTTCAATAATCAATGTAAAAGAGCACAATCGAGAGTTTGGTACCTTTTTGTCAATTATAGCAACGCCTACGTTATAAAAAAATTAAAAAACATTGATGAATAAATTGAAAATATACCTTAATATTTATAGTGTACTTATAATCTTTCTTGGTAAGAAAAAAAAAGAGATGAAAATGATTAGCTTACAGGTCGACAAACGCATAAGCAATAAAACACAATCCTAGCATTAAAAAATACTTATGTGTTGAATTTCAATACTTTGCCGAGTAAAAAAGCTGCAGCTTTAACTTTCGCGTCGTTCGAGCTGACCTCGTGAGAAAGAAATTCAAAGTTCAACGCACCGACTCCAAGGTTCTTGATATATTCGCGCGTCTTCGGACGATCGTTGAAATTCGTCTCCAGGATGCTTCGCAAGCAGTGCCAATAATATCATCCTACCCTTGTCCTCATTAAATCTCACCGCGCACAGCGCTAATACTTACTTAGTAATTAGTAATTACGCGTAGAAGAAGCAGAGCCAGGTTCTAGGTATGACCTCTCGGTGTGTAATTTTCAAGCTCTCGAGCAAAGGAAGCCGAGAGTCGTCATCGCGACCACGTTACCTTTCTCCTCCGTTCCTCATCTACGAGGAGCCGTTGCACATTGGGCTGTTAAACTAATATTGACTATCGAGAAGCTCGTCGACATGGTAGATGGGGGCTTACCACTTGATTTCATCTCTTTGTCCAATTTTTCGCGCTTCGTCGTTACGAGCGAATATATTGCTAGACTCGCTCGTTTATTCAAATCAACTACGCTACTTACTTTAGTAACATTTGCCGCGCATTTCCCGCACTTTGCTTCGCCGTACATATCGATGTAACTTTACGTACTTCGTGCATTTCA